CAGGGGAGGGTCAGAGAGAGAGGGAGTCACAGACTGAAACAGGCTCCAGGCTCTGAGCTGGCAGTCATCACAGAGCCCGACGCGGGGCTCGAACCCACGAACCGCGAGATCATGACCTAAGCGAAACTCGGACGCTTAACCGACTAAGCCACCCAGGCGCCCCCAAGGACCTCTTTTCTTAGAAGGCTCTCTGTGTGTGTTTGGGTCAGGCCAGCATCCTCACAGGAACCTGTTTTCTCATTTCCCTCTCCAATCACCTCACTCACTGTCCCCGCTTTCCACCAGGCACCGACGAAGATGCTATCATCAGCGTCCTCGCCTACCGCAGCACGGCCCAGCGCCAGGAAATCAGGATGGCCTACAAGTCCACCATCGGCAGGGTAGGCCGCAGCCTCTCCAGGTCTCTTCCTGATCTAGGTTCCAGAAGTGGCCTTTTGGGTCCAAAAGATGGACCCTTGCCTTGTTTAAAGATGTTCTGAAGAAAAAAACAACTTCAGTGTGTTACCTCCACTGTCCTTAGCCAGAGGTGATTTCTGGGAGCTCTTGGTTCCCAGAGCTCAACCCAACCACAGTGAAGTGGTATCTTCCCATTCAGCCCCGTGTAGGGACGTGGTCGTTCAGTGGACTCCACCACCGCCCTGGTTAGCATCAGACAGGGCTGAGCCTCCACATTGCTTCCCTGATCCTGGCCGGGCTTCTTTTAGGTCACGGTGGATGAAGCAGTATTGACATCTAGTTTGTTTTAAACACGCTCTCCTAGGATTTGGAGTCTATTCTGACGCTTCCACATAAACCCAGGTGTACCATATTTTCATTCCTTTGATGATTCTCAGTTGAGGGACACCCCCTCAAATTCTAGATTGGGGTTGTGACTATGTATATAATTCATTAGCTTATGGATTCAGGGTGTGTTCACTCACCCCTTCTGGTTTGAATCCTGCACCCCCAGGGACCCTATTTCAAACTCTGTTTTCAACAACTCATTTACCAGAGCCATCCACCCAGTCTTTCCTCACCACTGAAAACCTGTCTATGTGATGAATCTTTTTATTGAGTGAGGAAATGAGTGTTTTAGGTCTCGGAGTATAGTAACTCCGAAGAATATTTCTATCCTGGAGAAACCTTACAGCCAATCAGACTACAGCTGTTTCTCAAAGACTGGCACTAAGCTACTGGCTGGGACAAAGCTGGCTCAGCATTCCCCAGCACATCTGCATGCAAACTTTGGCTGGGGCCCCAATAGGGACTGGGATTATTCATAGCTCAGACTGTCTTCTGAGCATCTGAAACTCTCCTCCATCCCAGAGACCTTTAATGAGCATAAACGAGTGTGAACATGCATGTGATATGTGAACTGGAATGGCCTCAGAGCTAAACTAATCTGATGACAATTTGGGGGGGGGTTGTTGTTTTTTAATTTTTTATGGTTTGTTTATTTTTGAGACAGAGAGAGACAGAGCATGAGCAAGGGAGGGGCAGAGAGAGAGGGAGACAGAGACTCTGAAGCAGGCTCCAGGCTCTGGGCTGTCAGCACAGAGCCCGATGTGGGGCTCGAACCCACAAACTGGGGGATCATGACCTGAGCCAAAGCCGGACGCTTAACTGACTGAGCCACCCAGGCGCCCCTGATGACAATTTGTTAAGATGACCAACGTTGATGAATTGAGCATTCATTGATTTGTTCATTCATTAATTCATTCACTCTGTATGGATGTGACCTAAAAATATGCACTAGAGATTGAAATACAGGGAGGGCTGTGCAGTCGGGTGTGTGAGATCAGAGACAAGACCTGAACGGTATCTCAGCTCGTTTTGATCGGTCTCAAGCATGGCCTTAAACTATCTGACCTGTTCTAGGAGGAAATGTGAATGAATGTCTTTAGAATTTGGTCCTTTGTCCAAAGTATTACATTTCTTTTTAGGAACTGAATCTTAAGAAATAATCGTGAATGATCACAAAGATATGGCTAAATGCATGTATACATAATGGTACAAAAATAGAAATAAGGGGCTGATGAAATAAATTATATTGTATCTATATATAGAAATTTCAGCAGCTGTTAAAAATGTCATATGTAATTATTGATTACATATGATTACATATTGATTACATATGATTTGGAAATACATTCAAAGCATATTGCTAAGAGAGTGAATACATTTAAGTCCGTGTCTATAAACTTTTTGATCTCAAGACCCTTCTACACTCTGATTGAGGACTTTTTTTGTTTTTGGATTATCTATTATCTAATATCTATTGATATTTACTATACTAGAAATTAAAACTGAGGCATTAAAAATATGGATTTGTTAATTTATTTAAAAAACATAAATATATTACATGTTACATTTTAATGAAAATTAGCTATATATTCCAAAACATTAACATTTAGTGAGAAAACTGGCATTCTTTTACATTTTGCAAATTTCTTTAATGCCTGCTTTAGTGGAAAACAGCTGGATTCTCATATCTGCTTCTGCATCGTTTGTTGTGATACATGGTTTTGGTTGAAATCTGATCTTGTATAGATATATATGTACTTGGAAAAGGGCATGTTAATAGCCTTTTAACAGAATTATAGAAATGCAGATATGTCAAGTAGCCTTTGCAAAACTCCATGGTACAAATGTGAGAGAATGGCAATGAAAAGGCAAATATAATGTCTTAGTGTTACTTATCATGAGGAGAGCTCTGACCTTGCAGGCCCCTGAATGAATCCAGAGACCCCAGAATGAGTCTGGAGACCCCAGACATCCCTGGACCACACTCTGAGAGCGGCTGGGCTGGTTTAAGTTAGCGTAGCAGTTAAACAGAGCCACTCGCTTGCTTTGCAGGACCTGATAGACGACTTGAAGTCAGAACTGAGTGGCAACTTTGAGCGGGTGATCATGGGGATGATGACGCCCACTGTGCTGTACGACGTGCAGGAGCTGCGAAGGGCCATGAAGGTGTGTGCCCTCCTCTCCTGCGGCCCGGACCAGCTTCCTCCAGAAAGGGACAAAAGCCCTGTGGGAGTGGGGAGGGGAGGTTCAGGAGAAAGATTTTCCTTCATCGATGACAACTCGAAAACATGACACTACATTATAGCAATTGTAAACTTAAAAATGATTTTCCATAAAGTTATGCAATCGTTTGCTCTTTCCTATGGCTCCATGGGGAATGGTGAGAGTTGTGCCTGTGGTGCAGCTCCAGAAACTTTCTTGTCGCGTTCGCCGCTTTTGAGACGTGAAACTTTATGGCTGGCACAGTGGAGCCTCTGGAGTGGCCAGAGGCTCAGAACTGGCAGAAAGGATTCTCGGCCTCCCTCAGCACTAGATCCACTGTGCCCTAGCCTTAGTGGGACAGTTTTTAATGACCAACTACAAAATTCAAATACAATTACCCTCCCCAAACATGTCAGTAAATAGCCTTGTGGAAGGTTCTGGGCTAGGCTCTGGGAAAGCAAAGAGGTAACAGTCTTTGCCAGAAGATTCTGCCCTTCAAAGAAAAAGTATGGAGGTAGAGGCTGGCAACTGGATGGCTTAGTCAGACTCTTTTTTTTTTTTTTAATGTTTATTTATTTACTTTTGAGAGAGAGAGAGAATGAGCTGGGGAGAGGCAGAGAGAAAGGAAGAGAGGTAATCCTAAGCAGGTCCCACGCTGTCAGCACAAAGCCCCATGTGGGGTTCGATCTCACTAACCATAAGGTCATGACCTGAGCAGAAATTGAGTTGGGCACTTAGCCGATTGAGCCACCTAGATGCCTCAAGTGTCAGATTCTTGATATGAGCTCAGGTTGTATTCTCACAGTTGTGAGATTGAGCCCTGTATCAGGCATGGAGCCTGCTTGGGATTCTCTTTCTCCCTCTCTCTCTGCCCCTCCTCTGCATACACACCTGCATGGCGTCTTCTCAAAATAAATAAATAAATAAATTTTTAAAAAAGAGAGAAAAGTACAGGGGAAGTCAAGGAAAGATTATGCCTCCAGAGGGCAGACACTGTCCATAACCTGGCACAATAATCAACCGATAGAAACAGCCCATAAATGTTTGTTATTATTAAAAATGATTATGGTACACCCATTGGGATTTGGGCAGGACAGTTTATAAATTAGCAAATCCTGTAGGTATAGCTCAATAGGTTGCTTTTTTCTCTGCAAATTCCCAGGTATATGCCTCTATGTCTGGGATTCAACATTATGAACTGGCTCATAACTCCCTGTCTTCTGGGTTTTGTGTTTAGGGAGCTGGCACGGATGAGGGCTGCCTGATTGAGATCCTGGCCTCCCGGACACCTGAGGAGATCAGACGCATAAACCAGACCTACCAGCTTCGTATGTAGCATCCTCAGTGGTCCCCCTGAGGTTTCACTGTGATCTGAAAAGTAAACAAGCAGCGGGTAGTTACCTACTGATTAAACTTTCTTCGAGAGGGGCGCCTGGGTGGCTCAGTTGGTTAAGCATCCAGCTTTAGCTCAGGTCATGATCTCGTGGTCTGCGGTCTGTGAGTTTAAGCCCTACATTGGGCTCTGTGCTGACAGCTCATGGAGCCTGGATCAGATTCTGTGTCTCCCTCTCTCTGCCCCTTCCTCACTCTCTCTCTCTCTCTCTCAAAATAATAAATAAACATTAAAAAAATATTTTTAAAAAACTTATGCCTTAGAAACAGTGACCATGAGAGATCCTGAGTTCCAAGCTCTGCTTTCAGGCAGTTCCCCATCTAGGCAAATGACAGTCTGTTGGCTTCTCAAGACTTCTTATGTGAAGACACCACTCCCAATGCAGTGTTTCATCGCCCTGCATGTTGTTCCTTATTATAAAGCAGAGAATCAGACATGTTTGTTCAAAAGCGGTGGCACCAATGAATCTTAGCATTTCAGGGGATGCCCTGGAGGGACTCTCTTGCCCAACTTCTTACCTCCACACTGCACTGTGTATCCTCTAGCCACCCAAGAAGGAAGCCATTTATTTCCCTCTTACAAATCTCCAGAGGATGATGCTTAGGAAGAGTCTTTAAAAGATAATATGCTTTTTTGCCCTAAGAATGTAATTTAAAAAAAAAACTGTACAAAGGTTTAGATCCTATAGTGCTTATTTGGTATTGTATAGATTAGCTAAATATGTCCAACAGTAGCAGGTTAGCTGAATAAAATATGTTGCACCCACACAATGGAGTATTATGTAGTCATCAAAATGTATATTGAAGGATATTATTACATTCCATTAAGTGGTATGGTATATGGATAAGTAAAAAAAGGCAAACCATAAAATAGCATGCTATGATGTCATTTAAAAAAAAATAAAAATAATAACAGGGGCACCTGGGTGGCTTGGTCAGTTAAGGATCCTATTCTTGACTTGATTTCAGCTCAGGTCATGATCTTGGGGTTCATGAGTTCGAACCCTGCATCGGGCTCTGCACTGACAGCATGGAGCCTACTTGGGATCTCTTTTCTTCCTCTCTCTCTGCCCCTCCCCAACTCATGCTGTCTCTCCCCTGCCCCTCTCAAAATAAATAAACTTAAAAAAAGAAAAACAAAGGGGCGCCTGGGTGGCTCAATCGGTTGAGCATCCGACTTCAGCTCAGGTAATGATCTCACGGTTCATGGGTTCGGGTCCTGCATCGGGCTCTGTACTGACAGCTAGCTCAGATCCTGGAGCCTGCTTCAGATTCTGTGTCTCCCTCTCTCTCTGCCTCTTCCCCACTCATGCTCTGTTTCTCTCTGTCTCAAAAATAAACAAACTATAAAGAAAAAGAAAAAGAACATATGTATATAAGGAGAAATGAGGAAGGAGACTCACCAAGGTGGTATCAAATGATTGTTATTTCTGGGTGGTTATATTATGGTGGAATGTTGTGGGGTGTTTTTCCTCCTTCTTACTTATTTGTTTTCCCCCAAGTTTCCCCTACCTTTCTGGTAGAAAGGAAACAAAACAGTAAGGGATTTTTGGTAAGTGTTCAGAACAGGAGATACTAAACCTTTGGGAGCTTCGTTTGAGCACTCCAATCCCCATGTCTGCCGAATGTGGATCTTCTCACCCTGTGGGCTGTGAAGGGTTGGAGCTTCTCTGGGAAAGCTCTTAAGGGAGTGCAGAGTAGGCACCTGCTAGAATTTGGGTCTGACAGCCCCTGCATGTCCCCAGTCACAGGCTCAGAAACCCTGCGCTGTTTGCCTTTCCATGTGCCAGTCCACAGCCTTCGTTCCTTCCATCACTGAGAACCACAGTGGGGGCAGACTCCTGGACAGTAGTGACCGCAGAAGGAGGGTTACAGCCCCAGCCCTCTTGACCTCACCTTTTAAGGACCAGGAACATCTTGCTTCCACTCTAATGACAAACTAAACTTACCTTGACCATTTTATGAGAGTTCAGTTTTGGAAAAACTGTGCGCGGGGTTGAAAACCCTCATCATGAGCTGCTTCGGTGAACCGGCTAATCCTGGGGAGGACGGACAGTTCTGGAGCATGGCACAGCGCTGGCAGGACTATATTCTGAAGCAGCTAACTTTGCTCTCTTGCCAGAATATGGGCGGAGCCTTGAAGATGACATTCGCTCTGACACTTCCTTCATGTTCCAGAGGGTGCTGGTGTCTCTGTCCGCTGTGAGTCGCTCCCTCCGTGGGCTGCTTCTGATGGGGGTTGAGTTCACTTGGGACGCTCACTCCAAGTCCTCTTCTCCAGCCTTCCTCACCCTTTCATCCTGCCAAACGTGAATAGTCCCCAAGTGTTGTTCATGGGCCTCTCTGTTGTTTTAATCTTCTCCCTCTTAGAGACTCTGGCTACTCGTGCATGCCCATTTATGCAGATCCATATATATGAGTACCTAATACATGCCAGGTGCCCTTTCTACTCAGTGTGGAGACAACTTCTAGGCTTATGTTGTCATAAAGGAATATAGCAAGTACACAGTTTGCTATAAAAAAAGGCATGAAGAGTGCCAAAGGAAGGGCACAGAGTAAAAGGAAGGTTCAAGGAGAGAGTCTAGTTGCAGAAACAAAGAAAAGCCTCATGACAGAGGTGCTGCTTCAGAGAGGACTTGGAGGGTTGCCAGGATTTCAAGAGGCACAGACATAGGTGGGTGCATTACAGGCAGGAAGAACAGCCAGAAAGAGGCAAGGAGGCAAGAGACATGGCATGTGGGTGTGCTCAGGGAACTGTTGGCTGGGTAGTCGGCTGGTATTTCTAGGAGCAAGGTGGAAGGCTGAACTGGGATCCCTTATTGGGTGAGCAGCAGGGAGCCACTGAACGTTTGGGATCGATGAAGTGAACTGTCTTTTCAGAAGAATAACGTAAGAGTGATGTGTAAGATCAGTTGAACTGGAGGCTGGGAGGTCTGGTAGGAAGTTACCTCAATATTTAATCCAGATGAGAGGTAAAGCAGCACTGAGGTAGTGTGGGAGGAAGGGTGGCAGGAAATGGAAGATGCATGCATGTGATATCTCACATGACTTCCCAATTTTGTCTTTATCCTGACGTCCTTCCTGAGTGTAGCACCCTCATTTCTCACTACTTTTTAAGGTGTTTCCTTCTAGTCTACCATCACCTCAAATCAGTCCTCCTAAACTAAACCAGAACTCATTTCCCCCCCAAACCAGCTCATCTTCCTGACTTGCCTGTTTCTGTTAATATTGTTGCTATTCTTCCAACAAGGCAGGACCCCAGAAATCATCTCCAGCCCCACCATACTCTGTCTCTGATACTTACTTAATAATGCTGACCGGCTTTTCTTGTTTCCTTATTTTTTCCTCTTCCCTTATTTCTTAGCATCTCTTAACCCATTTTGTTCTTTGCCTCTCAGATTTAGCACCCTACCACGCCATGCCTAGACCATAGAATATTGAGACAGCACAGCAATAGAAGTACTCTAAGAAGGGGCGCCTGGGTGGCTCAGTTGGTTAAGCCTCTGACTCTTGATTTCAGCTCATGTCATGATCTCACAGTTTATGAGTTTGAGCTCTACATTAGGCTCTGCACTGACAGCTCAGAGCCTGCTTGGGATTCTCTGTGTCCCTCTCTCTCTGCCCTTCCCTACGCTGTCTCTTTCTTTCTCTCTGCTCTCAAAAATAAATAAACATTAAAAAATAGTCTAACGATCCAGAGGAAAGTAGCCTGTCACTCCTTAGCATTCCTCCCAGACTTCAACCCTGCCCTCCCTGTGAGCTGATGTCGGTGAGGGGTAGGGAGTTTCCACATGCTCCTTAAGCCCCACTGCTGGTCCTAGACTGTTGATTCTCCTTTATTCCAAGCCCTTATTTGGCAGAATTGATCAGATCAGCGCAGATTTGCCGGTTAGGAAGGCCTGAGTCAGACGTAGGAGTGGGGTGAGGTGGCAAAGGGGAGGGGACCACACTGGAGGGAGCAGTCAGCAGGCAGTGTTCACTCTCCTTCCCCTTCTACTGACAGAGTCACTCAGGCAGTGGGAAGGAACCGCTGGCACTCTGAGTGGTCATGGTCTCCAGGCACAGACTAGAGCCACAGGATTAATGCAAACACATTCAGAGGACATCTGTCCTCTCTCCCTAGGCTGGAAGTGTGACCCCTGTGGGCATTCCAATTACCACATCCTTGGGTTCCCAGACATTCTGTCCTAACAGTGCACCCCACACTCATTTTCATGGATACTCTCTCATTCTCCTTGTTTTGTTTTTCTCAGGGTGGCAGGGATGAAGGAAATTATCTGGATGATGCTCTCGTGAGACAGGATGCTCAGGTTAGTAGAACTGAAACTTCTCTCTTTGCTTTTGCCAGTAAGACATGCCTTAGTTGGTGGATTCCCTCTTATATTTCAGTGTATATCAGCCAGGCTGGGATATAGTATTAAAAAAGATTCCCATAGATAACCTTTAATAGCAGAAATTTCTTGCAGAGATACTTGGGGCCTGGGCAAGTGACACAGAGCCTCATTATATAAGCATCCCTGTGTTCTTGACATTGGGACCATGGTATGCCCCCCCCCGCCAAGAGCCATGGAGTGTCTTCAGAATCACTTGGAGGTGAAGGGACCTACCTTTGCTTTGTTTACCTTGCATTTTTACCTCCCCAGAGAGAACATTTGATAGCACCTGTGTGAAAAAGCTTGGCACAGTGTGTACCCCATGGGGTAAAATTAATATCAAACCCCAAGAGGCAGTTGTTTCCCTGGCGCCCACCCCACTGATGGTGCCCTGGAACTGATCCCTGATCGATTTACTGCGGCCAGGTAACACTGATAATAATAACTAATAAAAAGTGGGTCCTTACCAGGTGACAAACACTGTTATGAGCTCTTAATATGAAGTATGTCAGTGAATCCTTGCGATACCCTATGAACCAAGTCTTGCTAGCTCCATTTTATGGACAAGGAAATTGAGGCTTGCAGTTCCTGCTCAAGTTCACAGATAATACATGTCAGAATGGGGATTTGAACCTAGGCAGTTTGGATCTAGACCCTATACTCACAACTAATATACAACCATAGGAAGGATTATTCCCATTTAGTATGCAAGGTACAAACCACTATGGATTTTGCAGGAAAGAACCTGTTGCTTTCACTAGGAGGGAGAGGAATATGTGTGCCATAAGAGTTCTGAGGATGCAGGGAGGCCCATCCCATACTAGAGAAATAGGAAATTGCTTTAATCCAGAAGCTTTGAGGAGGGAGAAGGTATTAAAAACACTGGAACTCCTGGTTGCTTATGTGAATTTCAGCTTCCTCAAGGACAGCATTTTTGTTTTTGTTTTTGTTTTTTTTTTAAATGTTTTTTATTTTATTTCTAGGAGAGAGAGCGAGAGACAGCATGAGCAGGGGAGGGTCAGAGAGAGAGGGAGTCACAGACAGAAACAGGCTCCAGGCTCTGAGCTGGCAGTCAGCACAGAGCCCGATGCGGGGCTCGAACCCACGAACCGCGAGATCATGACCTAAGTGAAAGTCGGACGCTTAACCGACTAAGCCACACAGGCGCCCCAAGGACAGCATTTTTGGATGTGTTGGAAGGAGTCTCCATAGGCCAGGTGTATCTCAAACTAAATGAAGAGTTTTTTAGCGAGCAATTTATTCCTGAGACGTTATACCCACTGTCAATTGCTGGTGCATTTCCTAGATGCCAGGCATTGCGTTAACTGCTTTACACTTTTTCCTCACAACACACCTGTGAAGTAGATATTTTTAATGTGAAGACTTAAATAATTTGTCCAAAATAATTATTCCTAATTACAGTAAACAATAAATAAATAAGTAAACAGTCCAAGATCGCATATCTGGTAGAATTAGGTTCCTTGAATCCAGGTCTGACTGATTTTTTTTAAAACCATGCAGTTCAATCAACAAATTTTTTGAGGTCTCTTCAAGGAGTACAGTTTCTCTTGGAAGTGATCAGGTGAAAGGGGCTTTCAACCAAGTTTGGGCTGGGGAAGTCAGAGGAAGTAGAACTCAGAGTAGGTTTTTCTGGATGCTTCACCAAGGGGTGAGGAATTTAAGACCAACAGCCACTGAGATTTCAGCTTTTGTAGGATAAGACGGTAGGAAAACCTTGTCAGCCTTTGCTCTGTGACTTGTATCAGCAGCAGGGGAAGTGTTTGCAAACACTGGGTATTACAGCTGGATTTTGAGGAAAGTAAATGAGTTTGAGATGAGAAGAATGATCAGGGCACGTAGAATCAGGTCATGGTAATTTATAAAACGTAGAAATCTTAAAATTTTTAAGTCTATTATCCAACAAGTCCAATTTTATCTGTTTTTGGGTGAAACTTGCACTGAAGGACATCATAGGAGTACACAAAAGTCCTACTTTAAAAAAAAAAACTTGGGGCGCCTGGGTGGCTAAGTTGGTTAAGTGTCTGACTTCAGGTCATGATCTCATGGTCTGTGAGTTCAAGCCCTGCATCGGGCTCTGTGCTGACAGCTCAGAGCCTGGAGCCTGCTTCTGATTCTGTGTCTCCGTCTCTCTCTCTGCCTCCCCCAATCACATTCTTTCTCTGTCTCAAAAATAAATAAACGTTAAAAAAAATTTTTAATAGAGAACTCGTGATATATTAAAACTACATTAGGGGCACCTGGGTGGCTCAGTCTAAGTGTCCAACTTAGCTCAGGTTGTGATCTCACAGTTCATGAGTTTGAGCCCTGTGTTGGGCTCTGTGCTGACAGCTCGGAGCCTGGAGCCTGCTTCAGATTCTGTGTCTCCCTCTCTCTCTCCACCTCCCTACTTGCACTCTGTCTCTTCTCTCTCAAAAATGAATAAAATGCATTAAAAAATGAATAATGCATTAAAAAAATTTTAACTGCATTACAAATGCCCTTCAGAGCTTTTGCTGGATGACACATTTTGGTTCCCTTCTTCTGAAAAACAAACCAGCAAATCTAAAAAGAGGGAAAATCTGCATCAACACTGGAAACTATGGAGGAGAACTGTTAAAATGTCAGATGGGCAGCAATCCTGGCCCAAGGACGCAGGAAGGACATTTCTGCCACAAAAAAGAGGCCAGTCCCCCATAGCCTCAAGCTGGAAGCAGGCACAGTGGCTTCGTGCAAGCAGGAAGAAATTCCTCGGGGAATCCTGTGTCTCAGAGGCCCTCTGTGGACCAGTTATTGGTGCTCCAGCTGGGGAACTTCATCCATATGAAAAGTGAGGAGCTCCGAGAAGAATCCACTCACCTTGTTCTGGAGGAAAAAAACAGATCTGGATAGACTGCTTATTACTTTAAAAAGCATGACAGTCAACACATCCTCAGCTCAACACTGTAGCCTGTGAACAAACAGAAGCAGCAAGGGATGCAAACTTGTCCACACTGTCAGGAAGAGGCAGATTTCAGATGGCTTTGGACCCTAAAATACATGAGAAAAAAACAAGTTTCAGTGAAACAAGAGCTAAATAAAAAAATGCAGTGAGTAAAGAACAGAGATGAAAATGGAGCTAGATAAAGGGTAAGAAAAGATAAAGGAGATAGACGAGCTGGCAAGAAGTGATCTTAGATGAAACCAGGAAAATATGAATTTTCAAGTTTATTACTTTATTACTTAGATGAACCTTTGTGCCCTCTGAGCTTTAAAATTCCATGGTTCTGTGAATTGACTCTAAAGCAGTGAGGAAATTAGACAAAGAATATGAGCAGATGGAGGAAAGCCCAATGAAGGACAGAGTGTCAGTTAAGGGCATTTTAAGAAACTTAACAAGCCACCTGCTGCCTATAAATAAATAGTAGAATTGTTGTACTATATGCTAACTAACCTGGATATAAATTTTAAAAATTAAAATTAAAAATAATAATAATAAACAGTAGGGTTTTAAATTAAAAAATAAAAAAATTAATAAATGTTTATTTTTGAGAGAGTGTGTGAGCAGAGGAGGGGCAGAGAGAGAGGGAGACACAGAATCTGAAGCAGGCTCCAGGCTCTGAGCTGTCAGCACAGAGCCCAACATGGGGCTCAAACCCACAAACTGTGAGATCATGACCTGAGCCGAAGTCGGACACCTGGGTCACCTAGGTGGCCCAAAAATATTTTAAAAATAAAATACATGTAACATAAAATCTGCCATCTTAACCATTTTTAAGTGTACAGTTCAGTAATGTTAACTAGGTGCACATTCTTGCACAATCTCCAAAAGTTTCTCACCTTGCAAAACCAAAACTCTGTACCCATTAAACAACTCCTCGTCTCCCCTCCTTCCAGCCACTGACAACCGCTATCTGGCTTTCTATGAGTTTGACTAGAGGCCTCATACAATGTAATCACACAGTATTTGTGTTTGTGTAACTGGCTTATTTCACTTAGCATAATGTCCTCAGGGTTCATCCAGGTTGTGGCACGTGTCAGAATTTCCTTCCTTTTTAAGACTGGATTGGGGCGCCTGGGTGGCTTAGTTGGTTAAGCGTCTGACTTTCGCTTAGGTCATGATCTCGCAGTTCATGGGTTCGAGACCCGCGTCGGGCTCTGTGCTGACTGCCAGCTCAGAGTCTGGAGCCTGCTTCAGATTCTGTGTCTCCCTCTCTCTCTGACCCTCCCCTGCTCATGCTGTCTCTCTCTCTCCTAGAAATAAATTAAAAAAAAAAAACATTAAAAAAAATTTTAAGACTGGATCATATCCCATTGTTTGTGTAACCCACATTTTGTTTATCCAGTCATCTGTCGATGGACAGTTGGATTTCTTCTAACTTTTGGCTATATACTCACAAGTAGAATTGTTGGATCATATGGTAATTCTATTTTTAATTTCTTGAAGCAAAGCCATACTGTTTTCTATAGAGGCTGCATTATTCTCATCAACAGTGCACTGAGTTCCAGTTTCTCAGTATCCTCGCCAACACTTGCTATTTTCCTGTTGTTGTTTTTAAATTAGCAGTGAGGTAAATGAATAGTAGTTTTGATTTATCAGTAATATAGTTAAAACGACCAAAGCCAAATTCTTATAGTCCTACCTGTTTGGAATAAAAACAATTACTAATGGGGTCCTGGTTCTACCATGAGACCTTCTGTAGCCTTGAGCAAATCACAGATCATTCTACAGTTCTGTTGTCCAAGAGAACTTTCTGCAATGCTGAAAATGTTCTACACTGGCACTGTCTTGTATGGCTGGCTAATTTTAATTAACTGAAATTAAATAAAATGTAAAATTCAACACCTCAGTCAGATTAGCCACATATGGCCACGGAGCACTTGAAATGTGGCTAGTCTGACTGAGGAGTTGACTTTTAAATTCTCATGAATGAAAATGTAAATAGCCACATATGGTTAGTGGCTTCTGTACGGTAAGCCTAGTCTAGGGCATTCCTTTCAGCTCTTAGGATTGAACCATGTCGTCCATATATAAGGAGCTTCTGCTGGTGCTTGCCCTCTAAAGCAGATAGTAAAAGGTGCCATTAGTCATATACCTAAGGAAAAATCTTGAGTCATTGCTTGCCACTCAACCAGCAACACCACTTCCACCCTCCTCACCAACAAAATAAAATGAAGCCAGCTCAGCTCTTTGAAGTTCTGGAAATATTTGTATATTTCCTGGCACCTTCTCTGTGATGTTTTAAATTTGTGCTTTGTTTGGCTTCAGGACCTGTATGAGGCTGGAGAGAAGAAATGGGGGACAGATGAGGTGAAATTTCTAACTGTTCTCTGTTCCCGGAACCGAAATCATCTGTTGCACGGTAAGGCACTTGCCTCAGCTTCCAAAGAAACTGAAAGACAGTGAACTCTGTAGTGTCCATAATTAATTTAGAACCTTTTCCCCTTTGCTTGGTACAAAGAGTTGATTGTACTGAACCATTTTAGATATCTTATCTTGGAAATGTAGGAGTGCAACAATGTGCATGAAGGCCAATTTCTGAAAGATTAATTATGAATAATTAGTATATATGTAATGTATTCATAGGGGTTTGGCATTCCTGTTTGCAAGAAACCAACCTTTATGGTCAGTCCTTTTTCTAAAGTGGCCCCATTTATTTATTTTTAATATAGTTTATTGTCAAGTTGGTTTCCATATAACACCCAGTGCTCATCCCAACAAGTGCCCTCCTCCATGCCTATCACCCATTTTCCCTTCTCCCCCACCTGCCACCAACCCTCAATTTGTTCTCAGTATTTAAGATTCTCTTCTGGTTTGTCTCCCTCCCTCTCCTTAACTATTTTTTCCCCATCCTTTCCCCTATGGTCCTCTGTTAAGTTGCTCCTGTTCCACATATAAGTGAAAACATATGGTATCTGTCTTTCTCTGCCTAAAGCAGCCCCATTTAATCCAAAAACATTTTTTTAAGTTTACTTATTTATTTTGAGAGAAAGAGAGAATGAGTGGGGTAGGAGCAGAGAGAGAGAGGGAGAGAGAACTCCAGTGGAGAACTCTCCACTGTGAGTGCAGAGCCTGACATGGGGCTCAAACTCACGAACTGCGAGGTCATGACCTGCACCGAGATCAAGAGTAAGACGCTAAACCGACTGAGCCACCCAGGCACCCGCCCCATTTTTTAGTTACATAGGAAAAAATCTTCAGTACATCAGTGAGTAATGAAATAGAATTGTTGGTTGACATTTATTCCTCGTTAATATCCAAGTTGTAAAGCTAATAGAAATGATTTCTTTAGGGAGTATGTTGTATAAGATAAATAGTGGATAATTTCACATTTTATTTCCTATGTGTAATGTTTCTAATTTGCTTCTGATAATGCTAGTCTTTGTAATGTGCTTTTAACTTCTTTGGGAAAAAAATATTGTGGAACATTTGTCCAGGTTTATTATCTTCCTGTAAGCAGGAATAAGGGTTTAATAAGATATTTCATCTTTTATATAGGCTTTTTAGTTCTTTATGTTGCAGCACAATTTTATAAGCCTGCCATGCCTTATAAGCACACACAATTTACCAAACCTATGGGAAATTTGAGAAGAATGAGTTCGCTAAGTTGAAAACATAAAGTAATTGAAAATTACAACACATTTGTAAGTTGCAGTGATTTCAGATATCCCACGGTGCCTAAAAATAGGTGATTACACCTGTTAATAAATGTCATGGGCTACCATCAGATGCACCAACTTCTGACTCAGCTCATTTCTTCACCTTCCCTTGCCAAATTACTAATTATATAAATCTCCCCCTGGTGGTATTTCCCAGGAACTGCAGGTCTTCAAAAGACCATGCAAGTAAGTACCTTTGTAACAATTTTCACTTCTCAGCACAATTGTTGGATAGTTATAAAGTATCTGCTTGTAACCCACTGAAAGAAAATCTAAGTACTATTTGGATAAAGAAAGATTCATAATTTTTTTTCACCAACCAACAATAATAGTGAGGATTCAAATAACTAAGGTTTTATTAATTATCTTCCCGATGCAGTGCTAAGCCTACTATAAGCATTGTTTGTTGCAACATCACATTGGAGCAGCCATTAATTCACCCATTTTACAGTGAAGTAAACTGGGACTTTGAAAATGTGTCAATTAGATCTTTTGATTCCAAGCAATAGACACTGACTCCAACTTAAGTAAGAAGAAGAAATAATACAGAATGGGACAAGAGGGAAAATGGAAAATATTGGTGGCTCATTGAATCAAAGAGAGAGAGCTGAACAATTCCAGGAAGAACAGAAATCAAGACAGTTCTGGGGAATCACAGTTTAAGGAAGTCGCATATTTTATTTGTAAGGCAGAGCTTGGGGCACCTGGGTGGCTCAGTCAGTTAAGCGTCCGACTTCGACTCAGGTCATGATCTCACGGTTCGTGGGCTCGAGCCCCGTGATGGGCTCTGTGCTGACAGCTAGCTCAGAGCCTGGAGCCTGTTTCTGATTCTGTGTCTCTCTCTCTCTCTGACTCTCCCCAGCTCATGCTCTTTCTCTCTCCCTCTCCCTCTCTCTCTCTCTCTCAGAAATAAATAAAACATTAAAAATATTTATTATTTTTAAATAATAAATAAACATTTAAAAAATTGTTTAAAAAGATTCTCTCTTTAAAAATAAATAAACAAAATTAAATTAAATTAAATTAAATTAAATTTTAAAAAGTCCCCAGTAGGTTAAGACTGGCTCTGATCTAGTGAACTGCCCACTGATTTGGTAGAGCTTATAGTGTATGTTGGGGGGCAGAGCTGTCTGTGGGTTGACAGCCCTGTGAAAATCACACTGATGGGACCTGGGACAACACCTCAAAGAGAGCATGGTTAAGAAGCAAAAACAGATATCCACTCTAAGAAGGCTCCAGAAGGAGACAGTGTGAGGAAAATAGGTTAATCACATTCAAAAATACTTGGCAAAAAGTGAAAAAAAAATAATTATGTTACAGTCTATTAAAAGAGGCAACCATTTGATATGAAATGTGACTCAGTATTCAAGGGGTTGACTTGCTCTAGTTTTGAGCCAAAAGGAACACACAGGTGATTGCCAAGGCCAGAATTACAAAAAGACATGTTCTGCTCATTAAGAGAACAATGAGAAAAGAAAGCAAATCTCTCTAGATGTTATGTCCATTTTATGTGTGAGAAAACAGGGTCCCAAATAAGGGAGAGGACTCGCCTGATCCCCTCCAAGAGTCACAATATTCCTTCATCCTCCCCTCACACCCATTCCACTTGCCTGTGCCTCCTGGGTTCTCACGGATACTGCTAATTACTTGCGTCTTGATGTATGCCAAAGAATAAAGAGTGACTGCTTCGGATTCGTGTCTCCCCCACTCATGCTCTGTCTCTCTCTGTCTCTCAAAAATGAATAAACATTTTAAAAAATTGGGGGGGGGCACCTGGGTGGCTCAGTCACTTAATAAGCATCTGACTTCAGCTCAGGTCATAATCTCACAGTTTGTGGGTTTGAGCCCCACGTCAGGCTCTCTGCTGACAGCTCAGAGCCTGGAGCCTGCTTCTGATTCTGTCTCCCTCTCTGCCCCTCCCCCACTTGCACTCTGTCTCTCTCTCTCTGTCTCTCTCAAAATTAAACATTAAAAAAAATTTTAAATTAAAATGAAAAATGGGGGCACCTGGGTGGCTCAGTCGGTTGAATGTCTGACTTCAGCTCAGGTCATGATCTCACGGTTCATGAGTTGTAGCCCCGTGTCACCCTCTGTCCTGACAGCTCAGAGCCTGGAGCCTGCTTTGGATTCTGTGTCTCCCTCCTTCTGCCTCTCCCCCATTCATGCTGTCTCTCCCTGTCTCTCAAAAATGAATAAATGTTAAAAAAAAATCTTTTTAAATAAACAGTGAACTCTAGATGAGCTCATTCTCTCCATAAATTTTAGTTTCCTCTATTCTTTTTATCATTTAGAATTATAATATATATTATAAATATGTAATTATAAAATATAAAAATAAATTATGTTTATTACTTGTAAGTAAAATAACAAAACAATTTGTTATTGTTTTTAGTGTTTGATGAATACAAAAGGATATCACAGAAGGACATTGAGCAGAGTATTAAATCTGAAACATCTGGTAGCTTTGAAGATGCTCTGCTGGCCATAGGTAAGCTGGTGGGGGGGAGGGGGGGAGTAGAGAAACAAATGTTTACAGACTTTGTCCTTACTAGTTTGTTGTCACAGGGATGTAGTTGTTTTCAGGTATTAAAAAATGTTTCAATCATGCATAATGAGATGCAGAATTTTAGACAAGAGGTATGTATAATCTGATTATTATTGTATTATGTAGCCTTATATATTTTATATCCTCTGTGCCTTTATATCTCAATATACCAGAGAAATAATCCTCTACTGGCTGCATCTTGCAAGTCTATGGATGGTTAGAACTAATAACTGCTTCATGTGGTAGAGATAGGAATCATTGTGAAACTATAAGCTGCCTTTTGCTTTAATTGCCTTTATTAATTACTTCTCTAATTAATTACTTTATTAATTACTTCTCCATGGTCTATGTTCATAAAACATTGGCTAAAATTTTTCTGACAAAGCAATCAAGAGAACACTACTTCGTACCTTGTAGAAATAGAGGGAACAATTGTCACTTTTTTCTCATAGATTTTATAATTTTTTAATTTCTTTTTTTTAATCTCTTAACAGTAAAGTGCATGAGGAACAAATCGGCATATTTTGCTGAAAGGCTTTATAAATCTATGAAGGTAAATGGCCTCATTTTTTAGCATCTGAATGACTACAACATGTCTTGTGTCCACCTTCATGTTTACTTCTATTTCCCACACAAATCAACCAAAATCAGCTTGAGATGTTCAGTTCAATTCATCAAATACTTCACAGAGTGCCTGCTAATGATAATACTCAATAAATATTATTGAGTACTATAACATGTGATCACCTTTCCTTATGCTATATACATAGGGATTAATTTTATCCCCACGACAGCTCTGTGGGGCAGGTCCTATTATTTACTCCCATTTTACAGATGAGAAAACTGAGACATATGGAGGATGTGCAGTTTGCCCAAGGTCCTCAGTGAGGAAGTAATGGGGCAAGGATGCAAATACTGGCAGTCTGGCTTCAGAGCCCAAGCCCTTAACCATGCATCGTACTCCAGAGACCATTACTGAGAACCATGGGAGGTGCAGGAGAGATCAAAAGGAAGGGGAAGGCAGTTTTGTGCAAAATACCAATAAGAACAAAATATAATATGACAGTAGTTGAGGATCCAAATATATAGGAACACAGAAAGAAGAGTGCTTTTCAATATTTGTTTAGAGGATAAAGATCAGAAAAGAATATATGAAGAAGTTGGAATATTTGAGCAGGACCTTAAAGGAAATTTTACAGGGGCACCTGGGTGGCTCAGTCGGATGAGTGTCCAACTTCTGGTCAGGTCATGATCTCACAGTTCGTGAGTTAGAACCGTGTGTCAGGCTCTGCGCTGACAGTTCAGAACCTGGAGGCTGCTTCACATTCTGTGTGTCTCTCTCTGCCTCTCCTGTTTGTGCGTGCTCTTGCTCTCTCAAAAATAAATAAACATTTAAAAAATTAAAGGGGGTTTTACATTGGAGGATTTCACGTGGTAGGAAGGATGGTAAGGCTGGGAAAGGAAGGATGACATTCAGGCGGAGGAGTCATTGCCAGTGAGGCAGGCAGTCTGGGAACACCCGGGTATGCGTCTAGAATGGCAGAGAGCAGTCTCCTCTGGTCAGAACACAGAGCGTTGGAAAGGAGGTCGTGGATAGCCCTGCACACCATGGTGAGGAGCAGTATTCCACAGGCTTCTACAGGCTTTGTGGTGCAACAGACATCAGGAGAGCCATGCATAGGCTTGCCTTGATAAGCCGAGAAAGAGCACTGAACACACCAGCATGGATCTTGTTTTCTTCCTTAGGGCTTGGGCACTGACGATGACACCCTTATCAGAGTTATGGTTTCTCGAGCAGAGATTGATATGATGGACATCCGGGAAAACTTCAAGAGGCTCTATGGAAAGTCTCTGTATTCCTTCATCAAGGTAGGTCATGAGAGCCTGGCCCTGGCCCAGGGGAAAGCTCTGAGGAAAGGATGGGGTTCTGACCTAGGTATTTTATCCACTCCCAGGCAGATAGCATCACTTTTAAAGATCCTACTCAAATTCAGGTATTTCCAGTTTATTTCCTTTCACACAGATGGTTAAATCTCTGCCAGGTTAGAAGCTAGAAATGTCTGCCTTCTAAATATGATAATTATGTTGACCCCAGACAGAGAAAGAGTATATTTTAATGAATACTTTTAAGAGTGTCATTTCCTTGCCTGCCTGCTTACAGTGAGAGATAAGCAACTAAGTCAGTCATCCAGAACCCTACCCAGGGCCAGCTACAATCTGCAGAAGACATGGGAAAGCATGTTAGTTACCCTAGATTGCTGCCTTTATTTACCTGGCAGCACACTTCCCGGAGTCCTAACTGGGCATGAGAGTGAAAAGAAATGATTCACATCCGGAGAGCCTGGCTGGCTCGGTTAAGCATCGTCCTTCAGCTCAGGTCATGATCTTACAGTTCAAGCCCCATACTGGGGGCTTCAGACTGACCGTGGGGAGTCTGCTTGGGATTCTCTGTCTCCCTCTCTCTGTGCCCCTCCCCTTCTCACATGCTATCTCTCTTTCAAAAATAAATAAATAAACATTTTTGAAAAAAGGAAAATGACAGAAGACAGACAAAAATGTAAGTTATATTTATAAGGAACAATTAAAATACAGGTGACATGTAAGCAGCTGTAAAAAAGAGGCCAGGGAACAGAACATTTGACAATGTAAAAAAGAAAGCAGGGATTATGCTATAAGGAAAAAGATGAATTTAAGGAGAAAAAACATTAAATAGGAAAAAAGTGATCACTTTATATTAATAAAGATAACTATTCACAACAAAGATTAAATTCTTGTGAAACTTTAAGTGCCAAATAGGTATTGCATTCAAATCTATAAATAAGAAATTCGAACCTCCAAAAGAAGACATTGATGGAAATACTATGCCAGATAGAGTTTAACATATCCTTATTCTTTGGCAGATTGATGAGACAAAGCATAAACAAGGATATATTAAGATTTAACTTAATAGATATATTAAACCTTGAATCCTATAGACAGAGATTCCCTCTTTTCTAGTGTCCGTGAAGCACAAAAATTGATCTATTAATTAGACCATAAAAAATTATATGTAGAAATTATAGCACCTTTCTGGAAGGCTATTTTGCAACATATATAAAAAGGCTTGGGGTGCCTGGGTGGCTCAGTCAGTTGAGTGTCTGACTTCGGCTCAGGTCATGATCTCACGGTTTGTGGGTTGGAGCCCCACGTCGGACTCTGCGCTGACAGCTAGCTCAGAGTCTGGAGCCTGTTTCAGATTCTGTGTCTCTCTCTCAGAAATAAATAAAAATATTTAAAAAATGTTTTAAAGGCTTAAGAAAATGCACAATCATTGGGGCACCTGGGTGGCTCAGTCAGTTGAGCGCCCAGCGGCTTTGGCTTAGGTCATGATCTTGTGGTTCCCTGGTTCAAGCCCTGTGTTGGGCTCTGTGTTGACAGCTCAGAGCCTGGAGCCTGCTTCGGATTCTATATCTCCCTCTCTCTCTGCCCCGCTTCCCCATGCTTTCTCACTCTCTCTCTCAAAAATAAGCATTTTTTTAAAAAAGTTCTTTAAGATAATGCACCATCATTAATCTGGTAATTCTCATTTTATGAAAATTTATCCTGAGTAAATCATCAAGAAAATGCACAAAAATTTAACCAGAATTGCTACTGTAACAGTGTTTATAGTAGTGAAAAATTAGAAGCGATATAAATATCTAACGGGGAGGGGGGGTAAGCAAACAAATTATTTTACCCATATACAATGGAATACTCTTTAACCATTAAAGAATGATGTTGTAGAAGAATATTTAATAAATTAAAATAGGGAAACAATCTCTGTTACATAGGAAAGCAGAATACAGAATACTATGGTCCCCTCACATAGGAATCAATATACATAGAAAAAAGTCTGGAAGGATACTGGACACACCAAATGTTAAGAATATCTCTATGGGGCACCTGGGTGGCTTAGTCGGTTAAGCGTCCGACTTTCGCTCAGGTCATGATCTCGCGGTTCGTGGGTTCGAGCCCCGCGTCGGGCTCTGTGCTGACTGCCAGCTCAGAGCCTGGAGCCTGTTTCAGTCTGTGACTCCCTCTCTCTCTGACCCTCCCCTGCTCACGCTGTCTCTCTCTCTCTCTCCTAGAAATAAATAAAAATATTAAAAAAAAAAAAAGAATATCTCTAAATAGTGGAATTAGGATTTTTATGTTCTTTTATGTGTTTATTTCCTGCATTGAACAAGTATTATTTTCGCAATGAAAAAATAACGAAGGTTATTTTTAAAAAATACCTCTCTGAGAAAAAGTCAGATAAGACTTAAAAGGTTAACATAGTTGACTCTGAGCTGTGTATTCCATTTGGAAACTCACTTATCAGACTGTTCCTTTGCTTTCCTTGCCCTCAGGGTGATACTTCTGGAGACTACAGGAAGGTACTGCTCATTCTCTGTGGAGGAGATGATTAAAATAAAATCCAGGAAGGATAGGAGGATTCCCAACATTTTGAATTTTTTTTTCACCTCATTTTTCTACACTGCTATTAGCATTATCTCAGAATACTTATTTCCAATTAAAACGCCTACAGATTCTTCTTAGGATATAGACTGTATTATTATTCATCTATAATTACTCATGATGCTTTAAAGCTGTACTTGCATTTCAAAGCCTATAAAACTTAAAAGGAGATTTTAAATTAGAAATAAAAATGTACTCCATGTTTTTAACACATTTCTTCCTTGTTTGTGTTTCACAGAAATTAGAATGTATTTAATTTATTTCATGGCTTGGGTGAAAAACTATTAAAGCAGAAGACTGAAAGACTGTTGTAAAATCACTTTGCTTCCCTAATTCTATTTTCAAAGTGGCTAGTAATTTCTTGATTTGAAATTTGAGCATGTAGTTCATAAGAATATCAGTCCAATTTGCTATTTTACATGGTCACACTTTGAAAACATCCACTAATCTCCTTTGTTAGAGGTTGTCTATACTGTTAGTTGAACTCTACAAAAATTTGCATGGGAGACTTTCTTCTTCACATCTTATATTAAGATTACTTACTCTCTCCAGATTGAAGTGTACCAAATTCACCAACTCATCTGAGCAAATTAAATTCTAAGTGTGGTTATACAGGTCATATATGTCTGGTTAGCAAACATAAATGCTGAACATTCCATAATATTATGGTTAATGTCTTAATCCAGCCAGAAGATGAATGAAGAAAAAATTAAGTGTCCAACTAGGTATTCTTCTGGTGATGGTGTAATGTTCTGAATTTGCTTTTACTTACAGGAATTTTTTTGTGCTAAAAGTAATTTTTTAAATATTTTTCAATTTTGTTGATTTGTAGTAATTTACATTTGCACTGTGCCTTTCAACTCTAGAATTATTCTGAAGTTGTACTTGATTTTATCCAAAAGTTCAGTTTGTATACAACATGGAAAAATAATTTCAATAAAATATGGTGTCTTTAAAATGTCTTTAAAATATTCTTTCTTTAATTGACTTTACCACTTCTTTAAATTTTTTTTTTTTTAGTGTTTCTTTATTTTTTTGAGAGAGAGAGTGTGAGCGGGGGAGGTTCAGAGAGAGAGAGGGAGACACAGAATCTGAAGCAGGCTCCAGGCTCCAAGCTGTCAGCACAGAGCCTGATGCGGGGCTCAAACCCACAAGCTGTGAGATTGTGACCTGAGCCAAAGTTGGATGCTTATCTGACAGAGCCACCCAGGCGCCCCTTGACTTTACCACTTCTGAGATTTTTTACTCTGGCCTCTGAAAGAAGATATCTTTAAAAAACTTGTGTTAATCAGTTTCTGTTAGAAACTACAACACTTGATTTATGCTTGATCATGATTTAATGGTTCATGTATAGCCGCATAGGGCTCTGAGCTGAGTGTGGGGCCTGCTTGGAATTCTCTCTCTCCCTCTCTCTGCCCCTCCCCTGCTCAAAATAAATAAATATTTAAAAAAAAGAAACTACATTAAGAAAAAATAACATTTTTAATCTTATGTGCACTAACTGCTATAAAACTAATGTTTACGTATACCAAACACCACTTAATAATATAAAATAATATATTTAATTTATTTGCTGGAAATAAGTGATGCTCTCTGTTCTACTAAGTGGAACATTTGTATTAAATAAGAATATTTGCCTTCTGGGGCACCTGGGTGGCTCATTCAGTTAAGCATCTGACTTCAGCTCAGGTCATGATCTCATGGTTCCTGGGTTCTAGCCCCACAGTGGGCTTTGTGCTGACAGCTCAGAGTCTGGAAACTTCTTTGGATTCTGGGTCTCCCTCTCTCTCTCTGCCCCTCCCTAGCTTGCGCTTTGTCTCTCTCTCTCTCTCTCTCAAAACTAAACATTAAAAAAATTTTTTAAAAAAGAATAATTGCCTTTTTATTGTATTTTGATAGATGAAATATAAAGTTTTTTTTCAATTTGTTTCTGCTTGCCCAATGTAAGTGCTAGAGCTACCAGTGAAGGCTATTTGTATGAATACTTAGTCATTCCGATTAATTACAGGAAGTAGTACTGCTGCTTTGATATTGACCTAGGAGAGTATGGAATCTCCAACTTTATTTGGCTTTGGAATCATTACAAAGTTTTGGTAGTTTTATCTTTAAATTACATATGATTTAACCAAATGTTTAAAACAAATTGCATTTGGTGACTGGACATTGCATTTGGTGACTGGAAGCAGGATGAAGCCACCTTGGAGAAATGTTTGTTTATTGTGAAGAACAAGCATGACTTTGGAATATGATTTTTTTTAATATTTTTATTTATTTTTTTATTTCTAGGAGAGAGAGAGAGACAGCGTGAGCAGGGGAGGGTCAGAGAGAGAGGGAGATACAGACTCTGAAATAGGCTCCAGGCTCTGAGCTTGCAGTCAGTACAGAGCCCGACGCGGGGCTCGAACCCACAAACCGCGAGATCATGACCTAAGTGAAAGTCGGACACCCAACCGACTAAGCCACCCAGGCGCCCCTGGAATATGATTATGAGGCAACTTTGGTTTTCTCTCCCACTGTTTATTTACATTTATTCATGGGCCTACTTCTCCTGTCATTAGATGACAATTCTGATAGAGCTGGGACTTTTCTGGTCACTCTTAGGTTTTAAAAAGTCCTACTGTGCAGTCCCTATGGTCATTTTAGTAATATGTCCAGTCAGAATTCCAACCTTGATTTATAATTGAGCCTTCTTCCCTTGTTCAGCTCTGGCCTATTGCCAGCAGGAATAGGAATATAGTGGGTTTCTCTTCTTTCTTCGCCGTGGTTTCCTTCCACACACTCATCGCTTCACCACAGCCCAAACTCAGCCAGGGTTGTAGCAGGAGGGAAGAGAGTAAAGGGGAGCAGGAAACTTCTTAACCGACTGTTCTTGCTGTGGTGGTAGAGGATCAGTATTGTGTAACACTGGCAGATATTTAAAGCTGATAAATCTTAGGGGCATTTTCCTGGGTTCCTTTATCAACTCCTTTTTCAGCCCCTAGGAATCCGATAATACCTTCAGGTGCTCTTTGCTGAAGTCAGTTTGTTCTTCCACCCAGGCCTCTGGGACAGAATCTAAAATAATCCCATGCTGGCTGTCTTATGGTGGCCCACACTTGCCCCATGGGAAACACTGGGACATCCATGCTGACAAATTCTAGGCATGAAGACTGATCCCCTTGCTGCCATCATTCTCTGCCACACACACCCTAGTCCACTCGGCCCCCCAAACTATATATGCTGCTAATGAAAGTATAAATTGGTTCAATCATTTCCGAGAACTTGGCAATACCTAATAATGTTGGAAAGTTCCCAGGAAATCTACTTCTAGGAATCTATTTGGTGAATCTTTGCACATGGTGTTCATTGCTACTCTGTAAGAACATTAAAAGAGAAACAACCTGACTCCCTCAAAAGATAAACAAATTGTGGGTTCGTGAAACAAGGAGCAATGAAAATTAACTGGAGATTAACTGGGTAAGTCTTAAAAGTATAATTTTGAGAAAGAAGAAAGGTACAGAATGATAGGTACAGTATGATTCCATTTAATTACATGCCTAAATGTGCTAAAGAACTTATATTCCTTATGGTATACGTATAAGAACATGCATGGGAAAACGATAAACACTATTATTCCCAGGATAGTGGTCACCACAGTGGAGGGAGAGACAGATGGAGAGGGAGTTTCTATCTATACTGTTCTATTTAAAAGAATGAATCAAAGCAATTTTAATTTTAAGTTATCATACTTGTTGCAGGACCATAGGAGTTTACCGTATTATTCTGAGTAATTCATTGTAAACACTTTATTTAAAAAGTAGCAGAAGGGAGTTACGGAGTGAAAGCTGGCTGTCAAAGGCAGGCAGCTGTAAATTTTGCTCCCACCTTCAGAAGGCACTGTAAGCCCTGCCAGTACTGATGCAGACACTACTCAGATGTTTCACTTGCGGCTAGGAGGGAAGTTAAAGAATGCAGGGAACCTTTGCCATAACCCGCCTAGGGCAGTAGAAACCTGATATTTAAGAAACCCAAAGGCCTAACAGAACTCCACATAGTAGGTCCTCCTTCCCGAGGAAGCCTTGCCAAATATCCGCAAGGCGTGATTCCAGCTAGTGGTGAACTCCTCTAGGAAGAGCCCAAACAGCACTATCATTTTTGCCCCTTGCCTAGCACGGAGCCTACTAAGTATCTGGAACTCCAGGAACTTTTGACGAAAGAATCAATGAGCTGGAACTCCCGGTCGGGCTAATACAAAGGAGTGTGTGAAGGAACTGTAAAATCCAGATTGGCCCCAAATCTCAAGGCAGCGTGAGATCCAAGCGGAGAGCCGACCGAGCTCGCCTAGGCGCCCACAAGCCCCTTTACCTTTCAGTGCAAGCTCCACCCACCACGCACACGCGCCTTCCCCCGCCCCTTCCGGAGGCTCGCCCCGCGCACGCGCCCTCCTGTCCGCGCTTTGCTGCGTCTGCGAGGGGGCGAGGTTCTGCGGTCCCGGCGCGCCGCGCGGCTGGACGCGGCGGGCGGGGCGAAGGATGGAGGCGGTAGCGTACGCTGCAACGGTTGGGGCTGCGCGTGAGAAGGTGGCCGTATAGGCACCCGGGCTGGGTGGAGGCCGGCGGCGGCCGGGCCATGGCGGGAGACTGCCTCCGCTAGGCTCCCTGAGGTGCGCTCCCTGAAGTCCGGGGGAGCTGTGGTCCATGGGCTCCCTGAGCAGCCGAGTGCTGCGCCACCCGGGGCGAGCCCGAGCCCAGCAGAAGCCGGGTCCTGGGGCTGGGGGCTCGACCCGCAGGCCAGAGGCTGGCGGCGACGCTGCGGGCCATGGCTTCTGTTACTGCCCGGGCAGCCGCAAGCGCAAGAGGAGCAGTGGGGCCTTCTGCTACTGTCACCCCGACTCCGAGACAGACGAGGAGGAGGAGGAGGGGGACGAGCAGCAGCGACTCCTCAACACCCCGCGCAGGTACGTGGAGGGACGCGCCAGCACCTGTTGGGCAGCTCCAGGGCCCCGCCTGGGGACAAGCCCGGCGCCGGGTGCGCTTGGGGGTGCGGCTCTCCCCAGCCGGTGAGGAGCGGACGTGCCCTTGACCGGGAAACGCTGTAGCCAGCCTGATGCGGGGCGGATGGGGAGCGCCTCGGGAGACGCCTGGTGTTCTGGATTATAAACCACAGACGCTGCCTGAGTGGCGTTACAGCCCCAAGATGAGACTGGCAAACGCCAAGCCGGAGCTCGCGCCTCATTAAACCTTTGGCTCCAACGGCTGGCTGGCCTTCCGTAATACACCTTTGTCCTCCTCTCTGAGTGGGTGGCAGGAGAAGTTGTTTTGCATCCGGTTACCTTAAGGGGCACGTCCACCAGTGTAAAGGGAAGTGATTACACACAGGAGAGTTCTCTTTAACTGTAAAGGTGAAATTTATCAATAGTGTACATCTGTTCCTTATTAAGAGCAAAGTCCAAGCCTCTAGTACTTAAACCTTGACCGTGGATTTGTGTAAGGCACGTGCTGCAGCTTGCTTAACCTTTTTTTTCAAAGAGGCGAGAAACAGGATGTTTACTTGTGAATTAGAAAAATTAGAACGTATTCATGCGTAGAATACGTTTCCACATAAAGCAATCTAATTGCTTTTTTTTTTTTAAAGATCATCAGTAGGATAACATAAATGCAGTGTTTTAAATGAAACCTAAAAAAATTCAAACACTTTGCTACACAAGTGTAACATATTTATTGTGAAATAAAAGCAACATGGATAGCCTCTGTTAATAGATTATCTAAAAATCTTCCATATAGTTTTGTGTATGAATGATTGTATTTATTTACAGAAATGAACACCACCCACCCCGACCCTGTCAAATTGTTCAGTTACTTTCTTGGAGAGTCATTATAGTATAAAGAGCTCAGATTCTGAGTTCTAGTTTGGATTCTGTGCTTAACAGCCTTTTTTCCTCATAAGTAAAATGGAGATATTAATATTTGCCCTTTTTTTAACT